CGTTCAGCCTCCTCTTTCTGGAAGTGCCTCTCTCTCTCCTGCCTCAGTCGCTCCGCCTCCTCTCTCTGTCGAGCCTCTTCCTCCTCTTTCTAATGTACAGAAAAGCATTTCATCTTATTAATAGGTCCATAGTGCTCCAACGTGTTCTCGCCCTCGGGTGTGTAGCAGGCATATCACAGATATACATAGGATGTACTCTCGCATTAAAGCCTGGATGCACCTGGAGCTGCAATGATGGGCTCTCAGATATAAGAGGTCTGTTTTAAAGAGCTTCAAAGTGTGATTTAGGAGGCTGGAATTGGGGCGAATACATAAGCAGTACATTTTTCTTTTGCCTGGAAAGTACAGTTTATGTTCCCTTTGAGAGTTTAGGGTGGCAGACTATATTTGGTTAGGTTTAAAAAGAGACTTTTCCCTTTTGACAACATTAACCCTGCACATTGAAAAATTGTGATTCCTGCCAATCAGTGCCTTTACATTGCCAAGAAGCCTTTTACAAGCATCCATATGAAGTTTGGGAGTGAGACATGTCTCATAATTTGCCATAACCTGACGCACCACTGTAGTTATGCTAAAGAGAACATCTGTGTGTGTCTCTGCATCACCATCAGGTCTGTATTTGACACCCCGGGAATGAGAACAGGCTGAAAGTTCAAAACAGCAGACCTGCTGATTTTTGTAGTTAGCTCAAAATGCCATTTGTGGCAACCACATAAAAACAAAACAAGTCAACATAAACATCCGTAATCTCAGACCTGTTTCTGTAGTCTCTCTGCCTCTTCTCGCTCTTTCCGAAGTCTTTCTTCCTCTGCCTTTCTCTCCTCTTCCTCCTCCTTCTTCCTCCTCTCCTCGGCCTGGCGCTGAGCCTCCTCTTCTCTCCTTGCTCTCTCCTCTGCCTTTCGGCGAGCCAACTCCTCCTTTGCTAATCTGGTGAGACACAACCAGGTCAAAAATGATGCAGCCTTTCAGCACTACACATTCCCTCTCATGCACATGCTCACACACAGCCCAGCCTGCACACCTTGCCTGCTCCTCTTGTCGCCTGCGCTCTTCTTCCTCCCTCTCTCTCTGCTCGCGGGCCAGCCGTCGTTTCTCGGCCAGGATACGACTCGCCTCCTCCGGGTCTGTGGTGCCCGCTGAAGGCTTGTGAGCTGGTGGACTGCTTACACTCTCTAGAAGGCATCATAAAAGTTATGCTGACCAGTGTAATAAACTGTAGCTGTGAAACAGGTTAGAGATTCATAACTCACCGCTGGTTGCCGTTTGCTCATTCGAGCTCTTGTTCTGACCCAGTGGCTGAGGTCGAGGCTGAGGAGGGCTGAGGACCTGCTCATCCTCCTCCTCTCCTCTGGGTGTTGAAGAGTGGGAACTCTCAGGTGTGATCCTGACAGGACGAAGATTTCCAGGATCTTCTGCCCCTGGAGACTTTAGCAACTTGGGGGTTGGAGGTCGCCCCACTGGTTTCTGTGGAGGTCTGTGAGCAAAGGAAGTATATATTTTTTAAAAATAGTCATCATTCGAGCATATCAGCAAAATAACTGCCCACGTTACATTTCAAATAAAACTGTAAAACTCAATTTCAGCTCCAAATATTCCCCATTTATCAAATGTAATATCCACTGACCTGCCAGGAGAGGGTGCTGTCACTTTACCGCTCTTTTTGATTGGGGAAGAGGAGCGCTTGCTTGGTGGCAATGAGAGAACAGGAGCAAATGGAAGTGTCAGGTTGCTCCATGACTTCCTGACACTGTCACGGTCTTTTTGCCGCTGTTGGTTCAGGAGATACGGTAAAAACAAAAGACAACATGCACAAGTCAAAACAGGCAGTTTTTTAAAAAAAAAAACCCCACCAAGTAAGGACCCAGGGAAGCAAGCAACACATTATCATCAAAACTGCTCTTCCAGAAAAATGTCCTTTAATGCAATACAAAAGGTAACTGGATGGTTTAGAAGGTGCCCTATAGATAGTAGCCACACAATATGATGAGTAACAGGATTAGGCTTAGATTACAACTGGCACCAAGCTCAGAAACAAAGTAAGAAAAAACAAAACACACTTAACAGGTCACAAAATGAAAAACAGTCTTTTTAATTTGGAGGAAAAAAAAAAAATCACACTGCATCCATTATCTGTACATTCTCACTGACCTTGTATGAATGACACACCAGCGGTATTCTGGAGTGGGTGAGAGTTATCAGTTCACATGCACAGTGATATGTTAGTGTGTGGGATGCACGGCATACAAGGGGCCTTCTTTCTAAATGGTAAATGGCCTGTATTTGTATAGTGCTTTACTAGTCCCTAAGGACCCCAAAGCGCTTTACACATCCAGTCATCCACCCATTCACACACTGGTGATGGCAAGCTACATTGTAGCCACAGCCGCCCTGGGGCGCACTGACAGAGGCGCCTTAAGAGGTCTAAGACCTTAACAGCATAATAAGCTGTCACGAAGCAGATGAACAGTGGATGCAAGTGTGTGTGATGACAGATACTCTAATCTATTGTTTATATTGTTTGATCAGAAACATAATCAATTTGAAAATGACAAAGTTGAAGAAGTAGAAGAATTTAAAGGCTCGTGTTACTGAGTGCTTGAAAAAATTGATTTAAAAAATTGATTCACATCAACACATTCTGTAATAGCAGTAGCAGGAAATAATAATATGTTATCTAAAGCCAAAAATAAACTATCATATGACCAAATTTTTTAAGAAACAGACAATCAGTGTAACCGTCTCAAATGGTCTTTCCCGTCAAGCAATAATCTGAGTTGCTTTTTGTTCACAAATATTATTTCCCAGATATTTTGTCATGGGCTGATGAAATCTACCTGTGTTGTTCCGGTTGTCCTCCTGCGCGGGGTGTTTAAAGACGAGGAAGCTGCGTCCCTGCTGAGGTTCCTCTCCTGGCTGCGACAGTGAGGCAGCGGCTGTGCCTGCAGGGCCTTGAAGGACATTGAGCCCATGGGGTGGCAGGAAACTGAGCGAGGACACACAGGCATGGCTAGGGTGATGTATAAGGTGGGAGTATACAGTGTTTTTGAAGAAGGCATTGATTGGGGTAGTGTGAGAATTGGTAGGACACCAATAAATGTTGGATAAAATGGATCACAGAGGAAAAAAGATCAGGAAACAAAGAGAGGAATGAGAAGGAATCAAGATGAATAAAAATAAATAAATAAATAAAAAAGGAAAGCCATGGGTTGAAGAAGCCAGCGCAGGATTGAGAGGAATGAGGAGAATATTTATGGTAGGAACAGAGAAAAAGAAAGAAAGAAAGAAAGAAAGAAAGTATTAGTGCTACTAAACAAAAGTGCAAACAGCTGCGAATGTACTGCAACCATCACCTGACACTGTGTGACAAAGACTGTCTATGTGATATAAAATAAGGATTTGGTTGGTTGATTAGGGTTAGTAAAAAAAAAAAAAAAAAAAAAAAAATCACATTAAAAAACTTAACAGACTACACTTAAAGATATTTAGATCAGGAATGGTTTGCCAAACCATTACTTGCTGTAAAGAGTCCCAGTGTTGGAAGCATTTCTACTTTGTCACCCAGTTAGAACAAACTATAGCTAACCACACATTAGACCCAAAACCATACAAAGCAAGCAAGCACACAGAAACAAAAACATCTAAATACATGTAAGAAATGCACTTCACCAACTGAAGATGATGCTGAATGTATCAAAGAGGGCAGAATAGAAAAGAGTGAGTGAATTCAAGTAGTTCACCTAGAAGTTATTTCTTTCCCTTAATGTAAACAATGATGGAACACACACAAATGATCTAAAACTCCCTGCTGCTGTGATAAGGCATGGCATCAGTAGAGGAACATTTCCTGAACAGGTCACTTTATTTGTTTTGGGGGACGTATATGCATGTGTGTCTGTGTGCGTGAGCTTTGGGTGCCTGATACACGCTGTTAAAGGAAGTTTCAGACAGTGTAATGCTTTAAGTCCAGGCAAATCTGATTAGCATCCGAAACTGCTTGGGTCAAGAGACCAAGCATAAAAGAGTATATATACTCTTACTTAATACTTAATAAAACCTCTGCCTTAAATCAAGAGAATCTTGATCTAAAGAGCCAAAGGGCCTTAAATGTTTTGTTTTATAAGTGTTGTGTGTTACCTGATTGGTCTCCTGACAGACTCACTGCACTGCGGCTGCGGGCCAGGTAGGAGTGTGTTGGCTGCTGCAGGCGGTTCACCATGTTGCTCTCCCATGGCGTCAGTGGAAGGCGGCGCAGTCCTGAACACACGCATGTGACATGTGAGCTTTGATAAGAGCTACAACTACAGACTACCCACTTATTTGCCTAAGCAACCAATCAAAGCAGATTATAAATTATACATATTTACTGCATTTTCCCCCTTTCCCAACACTGTCAAGCATTGCAGGTTAGAAATAAAGTGAATTTGTAAGCATGCACAGACTGCCGTGCCACACCTACACCCTCATGCACCTGTTTAATTATGAAAGGAAGCAAACACCGTGGTATGAAGAGCAAACAAAAGGGCAAAGACAAACCGTGCAAGATAAGAGGACACACTGCATTTTTAAGAAAATGATCTTCAAGAAATTTCAATTTATCTGGGAAATCATTCAAGCAAAAAGCTTTCAGTTTACCTCAGGTAGTTCAGAGAAAAAGGCTATTTTAATTAATTAATCTCCACGACAACCTGATAAGTAAGCCAATTAAAGGAGATCCGGCACAGTATGAGACAAAACGTGCAGTGCTTTGCAGGTGTCAGCATGCAGGTCAAAGATACATCTGGGCTGAAAACTGTATTAATAAATGGGTTTTTACATTTCTATTACTTCATATATAAAAACATTCATGTTTGAGAGTTTTTTGGAATTCACTGAGTGATGCTTCACAGTGCCTCGGTGTACGGTGTCCAATATAATAATGGGAACAAGAGCATAATTATAATTTTCTGACTAATGTGGGTGACAATTTTTCAGCCAGGATAAAAACAGCATACAGTGTTCCCACAAAAACAAAAAGATTATCCTACTGAGGATTAGAGAAAGGGGTCACGTTAGAGGCGGGGGAAAAAAAAATCTTGATCCCTCAGATGAAATGCACAAATGCCAACACGTGCGTGCTGGACTGTGGGCATTTGTTTCAATAATCATAATGTACATTTATACATAAAAAGATATTAGATCAGCTTGTCATGTCATGGTAGGCTCTCCAAATCAAAGTTTCTCTTGTCAGAATATTACATTTAAAATTTTACACTGACAAATTTCTACAAAAGTAACAGATTATTTTACAGTTTCCAGCCCAAGATCTTTTTTGTTGCTTGCAACATAGTCGGAACAGTATAAGAGACCAAAAAAATTCCCACAAGAAACCTGTGTTTTTCTGTTGGCTGGTCTTTCCCTGATGTAGGTGGGGTTTGGACTGAGCTTTGTTTATGACAGGGGAGGAGACTGTTCTCATCTGTAAGCCTGTCAGCAGCATACAAACATCAAATGATGCATGACCCGATGGTTAGACTTCAACAATGACTTAAGTAAAAGCTTGAACTCGGAAATTTGCTTATTTGTTTCTTGCTGATTACTTCATACAAGGATTCATTTAAGTCTGATAACATCTGAAAAACAGACTAAGCTATGCTAAGCTAAGAAACAGCAGTTTGTTAGCTTAGCTTAGCATAAGGCTAATTTTTTTTTTTTTAAAAAAAAGCTCTTAATGTTTTTCAGTTTTATTGTTCTTTTTGTCTTCATTTTAATCAAATAACTTCCTATTTTACTTAGTTCATATTTCACACTGTCTTGGGCCTGTTTAATGGTTTCTGTTTTGAAGTGTAGCTTTATTGTAAATTTGGGAAAAATTTGATATATTTTCTTCACCTAAAAAGTATGTGTGTCCAATTAAAGGTACAGTTATTGATGTTTTTAGGTTATTTCATAAGAAAGAAATGATAAAGTACTCATAAATATACATTATATAATAAATATACAAATATACATTCATTATTATTCATTATCTTCCAAGAAATTGATGCATTCTCATAAACTTAGAATTAATCCATTTAAAATACACCGGGCCGGCCGCTGGTTTGTGGAACCCTTCATGTTTCCCCACCATATTTGAATACAGTGACCGAGAAGGACACCTCCCTTCTGACTAATCACGCTTTACCTATCTGGCTGGAGACCGACCACATATGTAGCATGGCAAAGGCAGAAGAGAAGTTGCAGACATTCATGCCATGGAAGGACATTGGAGGAATATGAAAACAGAATTCTTCTGACATCTAGCAGTGAAACTTTTTCTGCATTTTAATAATATTTCATCTTCTCCTGTTAAGAGTGTTAACTGATTTAAGTTTGGATTCTGGTGTTTCTCTTCCATTCTTTAACTAAGCTATGTTAACTCTCTGCTGGATTTAGCATCATATTAACTAAATGGAAATGACACACTACATAATACATAGTTTTAACATAAAAAGTGCGTTTCAGTCACATAAACATCCCAAATCTAATTAACTAATCACAATAAAACAATGAGTGCTTTACAGCCTGTCACAAGAGACTACTTCATAACAATGGCAAATTATACAAGATGGAGTCAAAGGCAGACCATTGCAAGTGGATGTAATAAACTGTATTTGTGTGTGTATATTTATTACCTCGATCTGGTGAGTGCAGGAGTGTGGCAGAGGAGCAAGAGAGGCGCTTGGTAATGACAGGGTCTGTGTGCTTGGATAAATTCATTGTGGACACTGAGCGCCTATCAGCATCTAGAATACAAAAAAAACAAAAAACATGACAAATGCATATCAGTTTTATATTGAATTGGTGAAATTTAAGGAGAGAAAAAGGGGAAGAAAGAGAGCTGAAGTCAGTCATCTCTCTGGGTTTCTCTATTTTGGTTAATTCAGGTTAGGTATGAAAAACTACCAACTTGTTGCTAAGACAGGAAAGATATTTAAAAACAGATTAGTGCTAAATGGGTCTTATGTCCTCTAAAATAAAACTAAAATGGCTTGAGTAAATGATCCTGCGCCTGGGGATATAACTTTACGTCACACGTGAACTGCTACATGCGAGTGAAATAGCAAAACTACATGTCGTGCCATTCACACTGGCCTACGTGAAAACTAAAGAGAATGAGCTAACACAGTGCTGAACAGTTACAGTGCTAAAGCCAGCGTTCTAACGCCAGCCAGCTAACCCACACAGTGCTTTTATATTCACATTGGGATGTCATTCCATATCTGTAGTAGAGACTGAAAGCACTCTGCATGTGCTCCAGTCCAGCAAGGTCGAGTGGATAGAGGAAAGCTGACTCGACAAAACCTGGGCCAGGAGGGGAAAGGACAATGGCAGAGAAAACAAAGAGTGCAGAGCAGGTAGAGAGCAAGCCGAGAGTGGGAGGGAGAGAGAGAGAGAGAGTAAGTCAGGGAGAGAGAGAGAGTTTGAATTTGAGAGCAAAGGGGGGGGAGAGAGAGAAAGAGAGAGAGAGACAGAGAAGGGTGTGAATATGCAGTAACAACAGAGGGCAGCGGATCTGAAAAGTTCAAATATAAACATGGTAGAACAATACTGACACGCAGAGGCAGCAGACATATTTATACAAGAGAGGCACTGACAGAGACACACATCAGGTGTATGAGCACCAATGCAGAGGGGGAAAAATGACTGTACAACTGACTATGGCTATGGTGTGTTGTGCTGTGTGTTAACAGGTATTGTGTTATATATGTGATATATGTAAGAGTACCAGCTGTTGTGCAGGTTGTGTTTGTCTGCAGAGTTCCTCCCCAAGACCAACGGTTGGCCTTCTGTCTGGTTTTCTGGCTC